GCTAGGAACAGCCTTCAACACACCAAATTATGGTTACAAAGTAAACCATGGCTGAAACAACATGAACTCTAACTTAAAAATAAAGCAACTAATTCACCATATCTCTTTTCTTGCCAGAGGTGTTTGGGAACCTTTTCCCTGAGGTTTGTGTCTTAAAACACATGACTGCTAATGAACCATTTCTGACACAGCTCACACTGAGAAACTTGTTACTGGAAGTGCAAAGAGAGGGAGAAACCAGTCCAGAATGCCACAGGAAATTCAAAGCTACTCTAAACCCCTATGATATTAAAATATTTGCTTTTAGAGAACAAGAGTTACTCGGGTACCACTTCAGCTGTTTGCATAATGAAGCATTGCTATCATTCTGAGTACAGCAGCACTCAAGCTTAGCTAGCACTGATAATTGCACATAAACACAACAAGGTGTTGCCTTTTTTCTCTACTAGTGGTTTAAAAAATAACAAGATAAAAACCAAGCAAAGTATTAAGAGCCAAAACCAGGAGAGGATTCTGCAGTGCACAGATATTAGAATGTGGATATTCAATGTGACACATTATAATGGTGCTAAAGAAACCATTATGATTTATTGAGCCAGTCTCTAGTCTGGAGACAAAAATCAGCAGGTCTGATCTTACTAAGCAGAACACGTTCACCTGCATGGGCATCCCCAGCATCTACCACCTATCCTCCCCCAACCCTTCCCTTGTGTTCTGCCTGCCACAGGCTCCCATTTCCAGGTGGGACCGAGCTGGTGACAGACACAGGCTGTAAAGGCACCAGCAAAAAAAATCCACTCATTTTGCTAAAGCTGCTGGGGCAGCGTGGCTGCTGCAGAGAAACCCAAGGAGAGCCAGCACATCAGATAAATTAGGCTAAAGGTGTCTTGATTTGAAGCATGTTGCTGAATACACCTCTCTACTTGGGCTGAAATTCAAACTGCACTATTAATGTAATTTATTGCAATCATTAAGTACCACAATCAGAGACCCTGTCTACAGTAGCTAGTTTTATATACTTTGAAAGTGTTAGCAAGTCACCCCATTACATCTTAGTCACGAGATTAATGCAGATTACTTATTACTTCTCTTGGCAATCACATAACACTTGTCCTGAGAATGAAAGATGATGCCTTGACAATAATACTCTATAATGTAATAACCCTTCACATGTTATAAAGTGCAGCACTTTTTCTTTTGAGGATCACTAAGTGCTGGGCAGGCATTCATTCACACAGCCTCACCAGACCCTGGTGATACAGCCATCTCCACTCAAAATTCAGCCACCAGGCCCATGTCCCCATGTGCCTCTGCACAGCTCCCATCTGCAGGGCTGCCTGAATTCAGCACAGCCCTCCAGAACACTGTGGCTTCCACTCTCCCCCTCCTGTTTGAAACAGCAGATAGCTGCAGGCACAGGGTATCTGCTGAAATATTAATGAAGAGAGAAGTAAGTGTTGTTTTAATATTCTCCAGGCCAGTAACCTGACGTATGGAGCAGTTACCTGATCTGCCCAAGGCCACTCAGCAGCTGGGGAAAAACAGGAATAAAATCTGGAAGTGGTGGCTGTGCTCAAAACAGCCCTCCCTTGGGGTGCCTGTGAGAGCCCGCAATTCAAATGCAGAAGTAATTGCTAAATAATTAGTAACCTACACAATTACTTCCATGCATCCATCAGTATTTTCTGCCCTGAAGGAGCAGTCAATAAATGCCTGAGACTACAATTACAGTGATTTCCTATCCACCAGAAGACCTAGACGATGTGCAGCCTAAAAAGAATTTTCCTTCCTAATGAGTATTGTCAATGGGAATTTCTAACTGGCTTGAATGTGTTGTGTGCAGCACACACGTGGGGCAAAATCACCAATACTGGGGCAGCATCGCAGCTTTGGGCAGATCTTCCAGCTCCAGTTGCTGGATTCACGTGATCAACGTGTAGCTTTCATCAGGGGAGGAAAGATGTTTCTGGGCTTTATGGTCAAACCCAAACTGAAAACCTGCCAATGCCCCCTCCTACCTGATTACATTTTTTGAAGCCTTTTGGGCACAGAACACACCAGGGAGATGAGAGGTGACCAGAACAGCAGCTGATGTGCCTGCTCTGCCTTCACTGGGATGTGAATCAAAAGCTGCCCACAGGAAACTATTTGCAGTGCCCCAGAAGAAATAATAATGGCATTACAAAGCCCTGGAGGTCGGCAACACCTCTCCTCTCCTGTTCAGCTTGCACTTTCTCTTTTAGCAATTAGAGCACTTTCAAAACCCAATTTTCTTTGAAAACCTGATACACTCTCCTACTTTTTTTACAGGTTCCAACTCTTCTCTTCTGCTTGTTCTTTATTCTTTCCAAATCAATAGTATCTGTATCAGCATCAAAGTCCTGTGTTTTACCCCTCTTCTGATGGCTCCCTGTTTTCTAATCTTTCTCCCCAGAACTTCTCTTCAGTAACTGTTATTAAATGCTTCTTATTTTATTAAATGTTACCTCTTCTTCTGCAAGATCTTTCCCAGTGACAGTATCCAGGTAACTTTATGTCCATCTTCTCCACCACCATAAACTGATGCTTACAAACAAAGGCCAGAAGGGTTCTTGGGACCACAGTGAACCCAAACCACCAGCCTGCTTGAGCCACATGAGCTTGTGGCTGGCTAGCACACAAAAACTTCCCCATTCCTCATCCCTACTGTCTATTTCATAGCGTTCCTCTTCCTTCATCTCTAAATCACTTGAGAGCATTAAATCACAAGCAACCCTATCTCTTCAATTGTTCTGATTTCTACTCAGCAAAGCAGGTAGAACTACAACATTATTTCCTTTTGTTGGGTTTTACTTCTCTGGTTTAGAATAAGCCATCACTGATCAGAAATACAGTCAAATTAATCATGGTGGAGCACTTATTGAAAATAAAAAAAGTGTCAGCAAAATGCAGAGAAAAACAAGTGATAATTAAAATATCTAAGACTGTAAAACTGGATAATAACAGAGACTTGGCCATTAAAAGTGCAACTTGCTTTGTGGTTTGGATTTTTGGCAGAATTTTTTTTATAGACAAAATTGCTTGCAACTGCAGCATCAAGTCTGAATCACCCCATCTTCCAAGATCTAATCAAGATCGACACTGTCTTGATCGATACAGCCATAAAATAAGATTTCCAAAAAAAAAGTACAACAAAGCCATTAAAGAAATCTCAGAAGGCAGCGAAATAATTTCTATAAGCCATAAGTGAAAAATGAACTCTATTTATTTCACATTACAATCAAATAGTAATGTGTCTTGGTGCATATGTGCACACATGCATCATCATTATTTGCTTTATTCTTATTGATTTTTCCTTCCATGGGCCAGCACTCCAGAACCACAATGCACCAGCAGCACTGATGTCAACGGGGAAAGAAGATTCTCAGCACTTCTGATAAATTATTCCTTTAAAGTTCAGGCACTTCTATCACCCACAGAAATGAAACACACATTAGACTTATGAGAAATCAACCTCATCTTCAGCAACTGAAAAGAGCAAACCATGAAACCTAAACAGTTTAGCTGCTGCTGCATATAATCACATAAGCAATGAAACAACCGTGTTATAACTGTCCCAGATGGATACAGCATTTCCTGAGAACTAATTCCCAGCATGTCCCAGGAGCCAGCTTACAGACAGTTACCCATTTTGTCTTTCCAAGTGGAAAGGTCACTAGAACAAATAGATCAGGAAGCAATGGAGAGGCCTTTCAGCTGATCTATTTCAAGCACCATGACAAAGAAAACTAATTCGGTGTTATAATTAGAAACACAGAGAGGAAAAAGCTCATTTTGGAGAAGAGCTGCTGCTGGAACGTTAGCATTGGTGCTGATGGAGCTAATCAGCTCAGAGAAGTGGAAGAGTGAAACCAAATTATACATTTAGCATCTTCATGCAAACCAGGTTTGACACTGCAATTGTCTGGGAATAAGCACATGGTTTAAAGGTGCTCTTAAAAAGGAGTATTTAAAGAAGTAGACAAAACAGTACTTCAGGACTCTTTCTTCAGACCCTGAACTCCAAAACTACATGTCACAATTTTTTCTGTTCATGTTTGATGACTACTTTTCAAAGACTTTTGGCTAGTTGTGTGTAGTTTGTATTTCTAAATGTATTCCGTATTTCTTATTATAAAGAATAATTAGAATAAGGCTGCAAGAATAAGGCTTTTTCAGTCTCTCATACTTACAGAAAGAACCATTAAACCTCTTTCAAATGGAAATATAAAATGACTGAGCTGAAGTACACTGGAAGGACTTTCAAACCTGTAAAGTATTTCTTTTCATTGTCTTGTCAAGAAGTACATTCGAATGTTCTCCTGAGGAAAAAAACCCCAACCCACTCCAAAAGGAGTTTTCAATTTAAAGGAGCTATAGACTGCAGATTTAATTACACAAATCCTATTGTGCACCTAAAAATGGCCAATTTGCCTTGCATTTCTCTGGAGCTTTTTCCTGCTCTCACCCTGGTGACATTTCAGTGCCCCTTGGCTGTCTCAGTGCCGTTGTTTGCAAAGCTGTGCTGTAAAAAGGATCAACACTATGAGCCAAGGACCCAAATCAGAAGCAATTATCCAAGAATAAGGGGGGAAAAAAAAAGTGCATCACATAGCTGCATAGTGACACACGACCTGGAGATGAAGGAAGTGTTTTTAGGGAAGATGGAGGGAAAGACCGGGAGGAAAGAAAAATTGAACACGGAGATGAGCCCTAGTGGATACAAAGAATAAATGCATACTGCCCCAGTATTCTGTTATGGGACTGCAGATTGGATTTTCCTGGCCTACTGATGTTGATCTTTTCAGGCAGTGAACTTGAAGGCAAAAGATAAAAGCATGGCAAAACTGGAATTCCCTCTCTCAGGTTACAGAGGAAAGGGAAGTAAAGCACTGGGATGGAAAGCAAGGTCCTAACTTGAGCAAATGGGGTGTCCCACCATGGGTATTTGAAGTGCTTTTTCACTGCCCATGCCTCCATACCTTCATAAGTTCCTACTTCCAGAAGGGTCCCACTTCGCTCCAAGTCCAGAAACTCCTCCACAGTCAGAAAGTTATAGTCCACACCAGGCACTTCTCCTTCTCTTGGAGGGCGGGTTGTGCCTGAAAGGAAAATTAGAATACATTAGAGTTGTTTTCTTATCAAGAGTTAAAAGGGACAGTAACAAATTTTCACAAAGATACAACAGTATCAAGAATCTGTAAAACACAGTTCTGTGAACTACAAGGGTCAAAAGAAGTTTGAAGTTAAGAGCCCATGTGAAAACAAGACATAGATTTCAGGCTGAACTGGTGGCACCAATTAGAACAAAACAACTGGGGGAAGTTTCTTGTATTCTCAGAAAGACTCTGGCAAAGAAATCTCTTCTGTGTGTCCAGAAACACAGCTAGAAAAGTTTGGTACCTAGGAATATGCCAGCAATCACTTTTCTGCTGCTAGCATTGTCTCTTATACTTCACTAAAACTGCAATGTGTATTAACAGATAAAGCAACTATTTTCGAGGTTCCATTATTTCTGTATCACTCTCTCACCAAATGTTCTCTCCCATCATAAACATAATTCCTCCCTTGTTTCTTCTTACTGTTTTATCTCTTTTTATGCTATTATTTTTCATTCAGCAGCAAAAAGTACCATGAGACAATTTGATGCTCCATTCACACATGCCCACTGAAGAGACAACCTGACAACTCTTCTCACAGAAGTTCACCTACATGCTCATTCCTGTTCAGGAATACTTTTTGAGTTTTAAGTCACACCAAATCTCTCCCTCCAGCACTTGACAATTTTTGCAGCACCCATGGAGAACTGGCTCTGATCACTGCAACTATGTCAGCTCTGAAACTCTTGTCCCTTCTGGCCAATTTACAGCACTCTGAAGCACAGTGTAAGATGAGTAATTTCATTACTTTTTTCCTAAGATGACTTGGGATGCTGCATTTTAGGTCACTGAGCACAGCTTCATTGATAAGGATCAATTTCTGCTCAATAACCTTTATTTTCCATGACTGGAAGCTGGGAGGTGACTGGATTCTGTACATTTGAGATTAAATATAAATGACAGATTTACAGATGGTACAGGAAACTGAATTTTGGAAGAAAGACCGGAGTTAGAGAGTTGGAGGTGTCTGAATGCTGTGACTGAAACAGTCTGCTGGCTTGGGAATAACTTCAGAGATGTGGAAACCACACCTAACATTTAACAAAGCATAATTCCTCACTTCTGAGGGACTATTCTGGCCCCTGGGCAGTGTCTTCTCAGTTAATACAATTTCTTAAACCCTCTATAAAAGGACAGAAGAAAGAATAAAGAAGCTGAGCTTCTGAAAACTAATTGGGAAGATTCCAGTTCTCAGAAGTTGAAAGAGCATAAATTTACCATGCCTGCATCTGGCAAATGTTTTCCTCAAGTGCCAGGAAAGCGGAAAGTCTGCTTATCTCCTATTCATCTGAGAGACTGTTCAAGAGGTCAGTCTTGACAGAGTGACACCCTTGAAAGACTATCACTAGATTAATTTCCTTGATTGACATCCACTTTCTCTAACATCCTCCATTTCTTGTTTCAAAATAGAAACTCTCTTTTTTTATTATTTACCATCAGCCTTCAAAGAGTCTATAAATTCCTGTGCTTTTTTCCATCATTCCTCCTCTTGGAGCTGTATGAATGGGTAAAGGAGGGAGAAAAAGTAAGAAAGGGGATGGAAACAGTGATGGATATCTTTACCTTGCTAGAAGAATTACTCTTTCCTATTTGTTGAGGACTCAGTCTTGCATTCTTTGTATTTCTGAGTCCTTATACTAAGGCTACAACAGTTTTTACTGGGTAGATTGTAACAGAAGCCAATTTTCTTTCACAGATCTAGGCCAGAGAAATGCTGGAGCTGCACCATGTGCCCCACTCCGCCCCAGTGCCAGTGTTTCCATCCCCAGGCAGGCAGAGAAGCTCACTCAGGTCCCCCCCTGGCACACCAGGAGCACGGAGCACACACCCAGCAGCTGGGATGATCACAGCCCAGATGCCACAATTCTCCCATGAGTGCTGACATTGTCACCAAGGCTGTGAGAACCCTCCCTGGAGCATCGTGTCTGTGGCCACTGCCACACTCCCTGAAACCCGGCCACGAGTGGGAAGCGAGGAGGACCAAAAGCCACACCAATAACCATGAGCAATGGTATGCTGTAGCTGTCCCATGCCCAGAGCACAACGAAGTGAGAACTAGACTGTAGCACTGCTCATCAATCAGTCAAACGTCACCCCCAGCCATGTGGCATGTGAGCCAAATGACAAAGATCGGGACGTGTGTTTTCCCAATAACTACTAACACATTGATGAGACACAAAGATCAGGGAACTTCAGGATTGCTTTCACCTTATCTTTTAAAGCCTCTTCTTTTCCTTATCTCTATCTTCCCACAGAGCATATTTATTAATCATTTTTTCCTTCCTTCTGAATTTTTATAGCAGTGAAATTGCAGTCAGCAGTTTACTAGTGCTGGCTGCCTATTTGACATGACAATTATATCTCTGCCATAATTCCTCTGAGCCATTTTAATGGATCTATTTGTTTCATCTCAGTGTTCTTAATTTCCTGAATGTGTTCAAGTCAAAAAAAACGCAGCTGTGCCTGCTATCAGAGCGACTGCCTGCAACACACGCAGGAAGCATTAGGAAAGTCACCGCGGAAAAGGAAAACATCGCATCACAGAGATAACATTTGTCACCTCAGCTGGTCCTCAGCAGCAGGCCCAGGGAAAATAAAAACTACACTGGCTGGGATATCTTATCTGGGCGAAGGCAAAAAACCCAACAACTTTCCATGTTGCTGTCTGGAGCAGAGATTGCTTGCAGATGCTCCGGCTGTTATCCTGCTCCACATCTGAGCAAGTGTTACAGAATGCAATTCAGGAAGGCAGGGGGAAGGGAAAACCCGCCTCCGTTTTTCTTGTAGCAGAATGACAGGCTGCCGGCTGGACACACGCCTGGCAGATGGCATTTCAAAGAGTTTTCATGAACCATCTGGGATGTGTACAATGATTACAAACCACACTTACAACAAAGCCAGAAGGGCTGCTTCACAATGAGGGTGGGGGGAGAGGGCAGGCGGCAAGAAAGGGGGGAAGAAAGGAAAGCCAAGAGGCACAAACTCCATGACTTTTCCCAGGCACTGGACACAGGGAATACTCAGCACCTTCCATGCAGAGCCCTTTCACAGCCTGGAACAACTGCTCCAAGGCTGTGCAGCTTGTGTGTGCACAGGCCAGCACCATCACAGCCTGCAAGCCACCACTGGAGCTCTCTGCTGATAAACTCCAATTGTAATTAAGTCTCCCATCACTAGCATGGCTTAATTACGTACAAAAGCAAAGTGTGTGTATCCTCCTTCCCCCTTTAAATTGCATTTCAACATCCTTACTGCAGGATGGTCCTCAGTGAAGGGGATGACTACGTTTTATCAGAGCTAATAGCAGGTCAGACCACTGCTAATGGCAGAATTAATTGAGCACAATGAGAGCTGTATTTAGCCCAAACAAAAGATAAGATACTCCACTTGAGAAGATGAGCCAATCATATTTAAATACGTTTAGTTGCCTGTCTTGTTTGCATTGAAATATTAAGTGGCATGAAATCTTATTGCCTTTAGGTACCAATTTAGCTAATTAATTTGCGCTATGTCCATTGCATGACTACCTCAGAATTGCTAATGCTGCAACAAGAAGGAACTGGAGGGGAAACTGGGTGGCTACCAACTCCTTCTGCACATTTAATGGTTCATAAGCTTTCAGTCTTACTTGGCTAGCATATCCCACAGCATACACAACTAGTTAGATACATTACATTCACAGGGGTATTCCTCAAATTTCCTGTAACCACAGAAGACTTAAGAAAACAAACAAAAAAATAAATAAAGCTACTGGTTAGCATTGCAGTTTTTACCTTCTCTTGTGGACTGGGCAATGAAAAGTACACCTAACATGAGTGGCTCAGACAAAATGTTTGCCCAGCTGCTGGTTTGGTTATCACCCCTAAGCTATCTGCATCCCAGTTCATTCATTCATCCCTAATGCCTGGGCCACAGTAGAGGGATCTCATCTTGGGCTGGTGACCCCACCTGAGAATGCTTCTAGACACAGGTGAGTTTGCCCAAGGAGGGCTCAGTGCTGTACGTGAACTAATTAGAGCTCGTGCACACATTCCTAGAATAACTGAGCTGTGGCTCAGATGTTCTGATGACTATCAACTACTATGCTGAATAATTTAAGTGGCCATTTAAAAGACAAATAGCTTCTGCTCTTGTGTTGCCCATCAACCATGCTGACACTTACCCAACACGAGCCTCAATTATACTATGGCCAGACTGTTAATATACGAGTCAGGGGCTATTTAGTTCTTTATCAATCTACCAGGGCTTCAAGTTAAGCTGTTAATATTCACTGATGCCCTGCTGCTAAATTAATCAGAGTCTCGCTTATTGTAATCTAAAACTAAGACCTAATGGGGCTTCAGTCACTTCAATTGCTTCCATGCTAAAAGAAAAACCGTTCTTGTGCAGTAATACTGTTAGTGTGCACCAAAACAGCCCCTAGCAAGTAATTTGGAAGTCACCATTTCCATTTCAGAATACTTACCACTCCCATTTGCAGAGCAGTAATTTCTGCAAACTCCTTCTCCAGTTCCACTGGCTGGCAGTGACAATCTTGTGAGCCACCAAAATACATCTCATCAAACCACAAGCCATTTGCTCCTCATCTCCACTGACCAGTATCTCTTAAAATGACAGACAATGTGGGAGCTGTACACTCAAAGTAATGATAATAGTTGCTACAAATATATTTTATACAGACTCAAGCCACTGGTGGTTACCAGCAGCGGGTGGAACTGCAGTAAATAAAGTTTTAATGTGAAGTGTGCAGGGATGCTCCTGATCCGGGAGGCTGCAAGGCCAAGTGCTGCAGTGCAAGTTTTGGAAAGGCTGGGGTGGGAGGAAGGCAGGGTGCTGCTCTTCCCAGTGTTCTAAAAAACTGGTATTTTTGTTCATTCAGCAGGAAGAGACCGCTCTCATCACCCACACGGAAAAAGCCTTCAGCTGCCAAAGAAACTTATTAG